TGTTCCACAGAATGTAGATCTCTGACAGATGTACATCTCAAAAGGGTTTTTTCTGGAATTTATCTGGCTCCCTCTAGACTACTTTTGCCTGCTACTGTATGTGTGCTTCAAAATATCAGATCATTTCTATGCAGTTATGCTAACAAATGAAAAAAAGGTGGAATCATTTCAAGTTACTAGTGAAGTTACTAGCATCACTTGAACTGCTAGTGCACTATCAGTGACAAGGTAACTCATTATCTTCTGTCATTTAATCCTATCCCAGTAAGCCTCCACATTCAATATGATGATAAAAGTAAGCATAAAATAAACCAGGCCTCCAAGGCCTCTCCTCTCACCCTGGAGACCTAGGAATGTTCCCAAGCAATCCCACCGTGACAGACAAGCACTTGCCAGGGAGAGCTCACCTGGCTGAGCCCTTCTGCATGTTCACAACATCATATTTTTTACTCCAATGAAGGTTCAATCCTTGCCTGCTTTTCTTTCTTACACCCCCCCCACCCCCTCCATGTCTTCATTACATATGTGTTCACACCTTCAAGATTCCATCATATGTTGTTGCAGGGCAGGAGCTGGGGTGACAGTGGTAGCCTCACAGCTGTGGCATTTGACTGCCTGCTCTCCAAAGGGTATAGGTCTTCTGGCGACAATGGGATTGTTACTATTTGCTGTATTCACTGTGGATCTGGCACAAAATATCCTCAGGCAATGATTTGTTGCAAGAGGGATAAAAGAAGGTCAAGGAACCTTACAATCTGACATGTCATATAACGCAACATGACTCAGCACATACATATACTTCACAGTATACCTAAGTCCAGACGTAGCTACTACAGATAGCAATGCCTGTGAAACTAGAAACCTCTGTAATCAGAGTTGTTAAATCATAGTACTTGATTAGCATTGAACTGTAGGACGAAGAAGGGAGGCTTCTCTGCAAGAGTCCAGGCACAGCAAGAAAGCCTATCAGATAGAGGACTGCTGTTGGAAGGGTAAAACAGTGCAATGCCCATCCCAGTGAAGCAGTTTTGGCTAAGTCACACTACTTGATAGCTGGAACCAGCTCAGAGTGCACCAATGGACAGTTACTACAGCTCAGCTGAGTTTTGATGTGTTGCGAACAGCCCTACATCCACCCTGCAACAGAGGGTATTTTAGAACCACACAGAAGCCCAGGGTTAGGTTCCTAAACTGTGGACACCTACATACTGAGGTGCCCTAACTTCCCAATCAGTCTGAACACTCATGCTGTAATTAACATTTTGCAGGCTATCTCTATTAAATAGTCACTGACCATAAACTTAGACGAGACACTACAGTTGTAACGTAAAAAATAAACAGTGATGTCATTCCGCACTATGGGAAAGCACATGTTGGATAGAGTGATTCCTACAGAAAAGACTGTGGGCTCAAATAATTGTGGATGTATGGAAAAGAAGTTGGAACTGTGGAAGGGAATACACATCTTACCTGTAACAGTGGATTTTCTAGCTGAACTTCTGTGTTGGACATCAGTCTTAAACACTTTGTAACAGCAGCTGTGTTTGCTATTCCATGCTGAAATAGTCTTGAAAGATGTCACAACTTTGTCACTGTTGCAAAGCCTGTGTATAAATTTTACATAAAGGCACAGGGACAATCTTTACGGACATAACTTCTGTTAATTTCAGGTGATTGGTGTATCTGGTGGAGAATTAGAGCAACAAAACCTCATGACCAGCTGTGTCAGTTTTCCCTCTTTATTCATTAGTCAATATGACAAGACTGAAAGATTTCATTGCTTTAGTGCATTTAAAAAAATGAGAAACTTGATGCTTGACAGTGCTAGCTAAAAACATTCAGAACCTTGTGGATTCTGACATGTATAACCAACACATATAACTTCATCTGCATATTTTTCACAATGTCATTATTTCTTTTAGTATGTGCTGCCTGAGATGTGTTTGGAGGGGAACAGTAATGTGATTGGCCTCAGTTGAGAAATATTCAGTTGCAGATGTACATGATACTGTCTTTTATCAAGCGGAAAAGTGAATGGTGACCCTGAAGTGGAGGTGCAGGGTAAAGGCAGGAGCAAACAGTCAAATTTCTTGAGTCATTTAAAGGAACAGAAAGAAGTCCCTCAGCCAGGTAAGGATATAGATGGGAGAAGGTAAGTCAGACACAGAGACAAGAAGAACTGAACTGAAGCAACCCAGAAGCGCAGTGTCCAACTACCAAGCTTTATTTTCCTTAAACCACACAGAAACCTCAAGCTTAACATTGCTCTCTTGCTAGTAAGTATCTGTGAAATCTGCAGGTAAAATGTGCACCCTATCTGTATCAACAGCAGGGCCAGAGACCAGGAAAAGAATAACCTGGTGTTGGGACAAGCTCCTCAGAGCCTGTGGCAGAGATCTAGGCAACAGATACATGAATCCTTTGGTATCAGCTTGCTATGCCTGTGTTCATCTGGTTCAAATGCATCAGTTATAGTTTACATTCTGTGTTGTAGTACCAATAAAGGAGAAAATTAAAGTTGGATGGAGGATTTAATGGCATTCTTTAAACTCATGCTGTCTTTGTATAATGTAGCTATAATCTACTTTTATGCTAATGCAGTTAGAGTAGTTTTTATAATAACTTTTTTCCTGCAAGGTGCTGGATACTCTCATTTTCCTTAAGTCATTGAAATTTAGAGTACTATATTCTTGCAGAGGTGGGCCCTATTTTCCAAGTATAGGCATCATTTGAGGAGGATCAACTTCAGTTTGGTCTCCCTGGATTAACTTTATGCAAGCTAACCAGAGGAGCTACTATAAAAAGCAATTTAGATGAGCTAAGAGAATTGGAATTTTCTTTGCTACTGTATTGCTTCTGTTTTACACCTTGGCCATTGCATTTGCAAATGATTTATTAAGGTCTAAGTGATTAGATTAGGCAAATGTGCTGACTCAAGATGTTATAGCAATGCAGGAAGAAATGAAAGGAAAAAGGCATAGTAAATATGCAATGCATTTTGCAACAAGATTATTTTTGCTAGGTCAAGATAATATAGTTTTATTAGCACACACTGAATGCATATGGCTGAAATTATGACTGCAAAACAAACCTTAGAATTCTCTGTATTCAGACTAATACAGCTTTTCAGAATAACACCAAATCACGTGTCTTTATGTCTCCAAACATATACATGAAGTAATCAAAGTGAAATCTGTTGACAGAGGATAGATTTTTAAGGATTTACACCTTAAGATATGAAATGATAGCTCAGGTCTTCAGGCTGGGAGCAAGAGAAAAATGATAAGCTTCTCACCACTGTGAGATACCCCAGCTCCTACCTGAGCATCAGGGTCCATGTGTTTCTTGTACCCTCACTGACTCAATTACCTCACAGAAAAATTCCCTCGTGTCCTCTCATCCCTCATGATAGGGAACATCTTTCCAGAGTGTATTTTTCATTATTTTGATCCCTATCTGTCCCTGTGTAACTGGAACCCAGAGTTCACTGAAGGCACAGGACACATTTTGGAGACGAGAGCTGTTTCAGGGCAACTTTATAGGCAGCACAGGTCAGAAAATCTAGACTTGCTGATCTCACTTCTCTTTGACTGGTAATCTGGCAATACTGCAAAGAAAAGAATCAATCTTACTATGCTGGATTTTCTGGAGATCTAATTAGAAAGAAGCAAGTAGAGAAGCTGGTAACTGTCCTTACTCCTTGTGAGTAATCTTGACTGCTCAGGTGTTTCATGGAAGGGCATCTCTAATCATTAACTTGTTATCATAGGTCATGGGAGGTACATTTGGTAGTCACCTCTCATGACCAAACCTAAGTTATCACAAATAATAAAACAAGAACTGAGACTTCAGTAAAATTGCTGAAGGACTGTTTTATTTTAAAGCAAGAGTTGGATGCAGGTTCTCAAGTTGAGTTAAGACATTGAAGGGCCTCAGCTGAATATATTGTAGCATGTTTTCAACACAAATAGTGAAGATGCTAGATATTTGAGGAAAAGAATGTAAAAATAAGCAAATATATATGTGCCCATTGAAAGGAAAACTGAAAATATTAAGCGTTCCAAAATGTTTGATTAAAAACTGAGCTATTTATTTTACAGTGGAGCTTTAAGTTTGAAAAACATTAAAGATGATTTCCACAGATTCAATTTTTTTTCAAAAAACACAGTTCAAAACAGGTAATCCATTGAGAACTGTCTCTCTCTTGCAAGTGACTTTTATTTTGATGAATTCACATATTCAGTGGAAAGATTTAAAAATCTTAAACCACTTCTAGTCATGAAACATGCAGAATTCAAGCTAGTGTTAAATATCTACTTTAAATTTGCAGTTTTTGTTGTCTGTACTCCTCTTATGGAGACATATGACAGCTTAAAAATCACTGTGCCGTTAAGTGCCTCTTTAAGATGCCTCAGGTTGAAATTCTAAAATGTTCAAAAAACTAGTTCTTTAACATCACAAAATTCAAGCATTTGGAATTGATTTGCACTTTTGAAAATTCAGGCTGTTGTGTATTTAGTAAAATGAAACAAAAATTATTTCATTCGCATAAAATAAAACAATGGTTTTGTATTCATAGAAGTATTTTAAGATGTAGCTTTTTCCTTGGAAGCTAAAACAGCTTCCCACAAAGTATAAATTATAGAATAATCATATTAAGCATATTTTAAGGCAACATATAATGTTCAGTCTTGTAATTTTCCGCAACTGATACATTTTGACTATGACCTCATTACTTTATCTGCAGAGCTAATAAATGACAAATGTATTTTTAATGACTCTGCATTTCAGTTATTTGTCAAGTTACGTCTAATATTTCAGTTGCTTGGAAAATCAATATCTGATAGGACTCCATGGTGTGTAGCAAAGTATATAAGCATGAGGTTTCTATTGCTTGGTCTCAATTTGTCACTTCAAACCATCTGACTTAGAAGTGACTCTTAAATCCCCTTGTCATTTCACCATTATCTGATCTGCAGGAATCCAAGACTTAAGCAACCATGTCCAATCCCAGCGAGGCAGAACTAATTCACATGTTTAAGGGGATTCCCTTTACCACCAGGTCTTCTCCAGAACTTTTAAAATCCTTGGATAATTTTGATGCTAGAGAAGATGATGTCCTTTTGGTTTCCTATCCCAAATCTGGTAAGTTCTACTTTCAGATGTTAGTTGTGAGAAGTCTCAATTGTCCGATTCATGTTCTCTGCTTAAACTAGTTGGGAAATGTCTGTGTACAAGAAAGAGGGAAGGGTGCTTGAGTATGAGAATGAGAATATATTATTCTGCCAGTAAGTGTTCAAATTAAAAAAAAAAAAAATGGGTCCTTTATCTAAATTTTTATTTCTTTACTTGAAAATAACCTCAGATGTTTTAATATTAGAAAGCAAATAAATACTTATTTCTTGTAAGTAAAATCTGTACTTCTAAGGACTTTCCTTAGGACTTTCTACTTTCAATTATGAGCAAATCAAGAATTGTATTAATTTATTTGTATGGCTCTTGGCTGTAGATTTATTAATTTCTTATTCCCTCCCCCAGTCTCACTTGCACACAGAAACACACACCAAAGAGGAAGCTCAGTCAGTATCTTCCAAATACACAGACTCAGGTCTGCATAAAGAAAGAAACCCCAAGTTATTCTAAAATAAATGAAAAAAGAATATAACCACCTCTCAGCTGACAAGCAGTTTGCCAAGGAGGTTGTTTTGGTACTAATATTAACAGTTATCACAGAATTGCTTTGTACTTCAGCTACAGCCCTAATTTTTCCAGTACTTGTACAGTTGGAGTCAACAAGATTATTCAGATACGTAAAGTTTCTTGAATCTGGGGAATAAGAAGTATCACTTTATGCACTAGCAAGGTGTTTCCATATGCAGAATGCACTTTCCACATATTTTCTCAGTAACAAATTTTACTTTCTTTTTTTTTTCCCTTAAAACTACTTTTCTGCAGGCACTCACTGGCTTGCAGGAGTTATAACAAAGCTCTATAATACTCAAGTTACACTAACATCTCCCATTGAATTTGGAGATGTTTCCAAACTGGAGGAACTTAACACACTCACATCAAAGAGAATCATCCCAACACACTTAGACTACAACCTGTTACCTCCAAATTTTAAGAATAAAAATTGCAAGGTAAGGCAAAAATACATAAAGGCAGTAATATATATTAAGTGTATATTAGGAATCTGTTTTGTGTTGTTGTTCCCTAATAATTTTTAAACGATTTACAGTTTCCAAAAGTGGTTTGCTGCAAATTTTGAAGACAACGCTGACCAGCAGTCAAAGGCAGCATAAGCAGAGACTTGGGCTGGGAATTGGGCTCTGCTCCTGCCCCACAGCTCCCATGGAAGCTGTATACCAGGCACCACACAAAACGTAACATCAACATCTTTCAATCAGAAATATATTATTAGGGATGGGGGGTGGTGATCTCATGGCCCCATTTTCTAGTGGTTGGAGCACAATTTAGAAAGTAGTTATCTTGGGTACTTATAGGCTGTTCTGGGTGTGAAAGTATTTTGCTACTCCTATTGAAGCTTTGTGAAGACACAAAGAGATTTAGGCAAACAGAGGAGAATTGAAATGTGGGAGGCAGATCCAGACCACAGTTTTGGGTTCCTCCCCTGCTGATGTGGGAGGTCTTTAAGAAATCAGCTCTGGGTGTCAGATTTTAGGTTAGAAGTCAAGATTTCAGGATTACTCAGATTCAGACTTTTGGGGCATGGCTAATTTGAGCGAAATCCAAAATTTATGTTTTGCAACTGTCTTGACAATGTTAATTAGTAAATGGTTTTGTATGTTAGATATATGAGATAGTATACTGACTCATGGGTTAAAACGAACATAGCCGCTTTCATAAAACATAGACATTATCCAGCTATAGCAAGCACACCTCTGTCCACATGGAATTGTTTACTAACCACTACTGACTTCTGCCTAAGCGGAGACAAATTATTTCTATTTTAATGACATGGTCACTGACAAAGGAATCCTAAAGCAAAGGTTTTTGATGCCTCAAACTGCCTATGAAAGTGCTACATGTACACACAGATCTCCTCTAAAATAAAGGAAGGATATTATAATAACTATATATCATCTTCATTTGCAGATGATCTACATCAGCAGAAATCCCAAAGATACCGCAGTTTCCATGTATCACTACTACAGAGATAACCCAAATCTTCCCACTATAGACACTTGGACTACTTTCTTTGACTTGTTCTTAACAGGAAATGGTAAGGATAAATGTTATGTTTTCTCCTTGCAGTTTACATTAGCTTATTATGCATAAAAAGTGTTAAGAAATGTGAACTGTCTGAAAATTCCTTATTGCACTCGTTATGGCTTTTTTTTCAGGATAAATTCTAATGCCAAGCTAACCAAGAGTACGTGGCTGCACAGCTGCTCTTTGCAGATTTTTGCTGTTCTTTAACATAGGTGTTAAAAAACATTCTCACAGACAAGTTACTAATTTCATTTCTTCCCACAAACACTCTGAAACTCCTGACAATTTGTTGATTCTGATGCAGATTTGCTTGTGTTAAAACATCTCCAACCTTGACTTGCAAATGACCATAACAGATTGCTTCCACCCAAGAACTGATTAAACTTTGATAGAGAGGAGGCACGCATATACAGTGTCTTGCAAGCAGACAGAAGGGCAGCCAGGCTCACCACAGCCAGCTCCAGTCCTCGGCAAGCAGGCTGGTGGAGCAGGCATTCTGTTTGAAGGTGCTCAGCCAGCTCCATGTGTCTCACTGCCATGCCAAAATGCAGGCAATGGGGCACATGGGCATATCGTCCCCAGGCTGCATTCAGAGCTACACTTGCAGGCGTAGTGCTTTCTCCAGTCTTGAAGACAGCCTTGGATGGCCCTTCAAAGGCAGTCTAGATGCTTTCATAAAGTCCTGCACACACTCTGTCTGATCTGTTGTCTTAGTAGTGGGGTCCAAAGACCAAGGACAATAGTGACATTTTTATGAGTGGTAGTGCTGGCAGAGAAGCTGACAATAGCACCGTGTACTAGTTACCCCCTCCTATTTTTAGTGTTTTATTACTCCTTTGAGGATATGTGTTCCTGTTACACAACCACAGTGACGATAGCTCAACTTGAAAACTTTGACAGAAAAGTGCTATTGCAGTCATCATGGGCTTACATGAAAGATTCAGAAGTCAATTTGTCTGCTGACTTGTGTGGGCTTTGGCTCAGATCTTGTATTCCTAGTTCAGAGCAGACCTAAGGCATGTGCTTCAGTGATCTGCAGGATCTTGGCTTGTTTAGTATCAACTCTGAACATAGAATAGTGCAAAAAATAAAAGAGGGTTATACTAAATTTTAAAAGCATCAATAGAAATTTAGGTAAGAGGTGATACTGAGAGGTTTTCATTTTTGCTCTTAATAGAAACATACAAAGGTCATGCTGCTTGATTCAAGTCCTGTAGTACTCTTTGCTGGGTTTATATCGGTTCAGAAGAAGGGTGAGGACACACAGAGACAAATCTGATGCTGTCCCTGAAGTGTCCAAGGTTGTATGTTGTACCCCTGAAGTCAACAGCACTTTTCTGTGCTATCACTGGACACATCCCCAGTGTGGTTGACCAGGAGAGCTGGGTTTAATTGCACACTGTGGAGCGCACATGTGTTGCAGTTCAAGAGTGCTTTATGAGCACTACAGACTGGAGGATTCAGCAAAATACTTAATTACAACTCAAAGTTTGCGACTAAAATGATGCCTATTATAATACCGTACTTTTCTGGTGGTGATTATAAAACAAAGTTACAGTTCTGGAGAATGCTGGCTGTGATTACTCTGTCCAAGCCGCTTCTCATCACGCTACAAGAGGCTTTCAATGCAGTCCATCTACTCTTTCAACTAGAAGGGTCAGAATTTTGTTTTTCAAAGGAAAGCTGGAATTTAACTTAGCCCATATGGTTCAGGTTCAGCAAAAGGTGCATTCAAACAAAGCAAGTACTATGAGTCAACTGTAAAACCTTAAGTTATCTATGTCACTGGCTGAATTATGTATTTGCATTATTTTTTACATTGATGTTTAAAAACACTACAGATTCCCATCTGCTGGGATGAAATAGAGCTAACAACAGGTGAAGGGCTCCAGAGCGAAGGATCACGCTGGGGGACCTTGCTGAAGTGACAAAAGCAAATAAACCATGGGAAAAAAAATCAACAAACCTGTACAAAGGCAAAAAAGTGCAGGGAGAGAGAGTGTGCCCCAGCATCCCCCCCCTTCCCAGAGAGGGAAACGTGAGCTCCTGACGGCAGTCAGCATGAACTCACCGTAGGCAGAGACAAGAGTATGGTTAAGCCCCTCAGGTAGAAAAGCAGCCCCCAGGGAGCGCAAGAGAACAAGGTGAGCAATCAGACGGTGTCACTTCGGAAGGGTGTGGTGCAGCAGTTCGCGCAGGCAGGACAAGCAGAAAAGGTGCTGAGATTCGGCCACAGCAGCCGGTGAGCAATGGTTACCACCAGGCAGAAAGCTATGGCCTCCATCAGCCATGCACCCACCAAGGTAGGTGCAGCTTGCCAGACAGAGCAACAGTGCTGCCACTCAGGTGTCGAGCTGCAGGGTGTGCCCTGCTCTTACACCGGTGTCTGATGGCAGCATTGAGCACACCTGTGGGAGGTGTGCCCAAGTAGAGGAGCTCCTCCACATACTTGTGGAGCTCAGGAAGGAGGTAAGTAGGCTGAGAATGATCAGGAAGTGTGAGAATGAGATAGACCATTGGAGCCGTATCCTCCCTTCTGTGAGACAGGCCCAACGGTTAGATGAAGCTCATGAGAGGGAGGCAAAGGGCTCCCTAGCCTCTCTATGCCAGGCTGACCATAGTAAATGGGTGGATTTAGAGAACAGAGATCAACAAGAATGGAAACATGTTTCTTCCCAGCGAAACATGAGTGGCAGGTGTGCCCCCCACCCCAGTAAATGCTCCACCTTCCCGAGTGCCCTTGCAAAACAGGTATGATGTTCTGCAAGGGGAACTGAACAAAGAGCAAGAAGGCAACTCGCCAAGCTCGAAGGCACCACCAGAGGAAGCCATGCATAAAGATGTCCTCAAGTAAGAAAGACAGATGAGGCCTTGTCATAGGGATTCACTTCTGAAGGGATTGGAAAGTCCTATTTGCAGATGAGACCCGCTCCTCAGGGAAGTCTGCTGCCTCCCAGAAGCCAGGATCAAGGACATTCAGAGAAAACTCCCTACACTAGTTAAACCCTCTGACTACTACCCGTTGATGATCTTTCAGGTAGGTAGTGATGAGATTAAAACAAGTAGTTTGAGAAAAATGCAGAGAGAGACTTCAAGGGCTTTGGACAACTGGTTAAGGGACCTGGAAGACAAGTAGTGTTCTCCTCTATCACACCAGTTGCAGGGAGATCTGAGACGATAAACAGAAAGAGCCAGCAGATCAATGCCTGGCTATACACAGTAAGAGCCAGCAGATCAATGCCTGGCTCAGAGACTGGTGCCATAGGTATGGCTTTGGGTTTTTTAATCATGGATCAATTTACACTCCACCAGCTTTGGTGGCAACAGATGGGGTACATCTACCTCAAAAGGGAAAAAGTTTCCTGGGGCAAGAGTTAGCAGGACTCATAGACAGGGCTTTAAACTAGATTTGAAGGGCGGAGGGGGGGGAGCGGGGGAAAGGGAATATAACACAATTCACTAGAGATGAGCCTGTGGGTGAAGCGCTGACATGCGTGAGACGGTGCGGTAGTGAGACTCTTTGGACTACCGTCCCAGTGCCTCAAAAGGGAAAAAGTTTCCTGGGGCAAGAGTTAGCAGGACTCATAGACAGGGCTTTAAACTAGATTTGAAGGGCGGAGGGGGGGGAGCGGGGGAAAGGGAATATAACACAATTCACTAGAGATGAGCCTGTGGGTGAAGCGCTGACATGCGTGAGACGGTGCGGTAGTGAGACTCTTTGGACTACCGTCCCAGTGGAGATAGGGGATGGAGTTCCATATAGCAACCAAGATGCAAGGGTTACTGACGGGTTAGGAACCATGGAAGTCCCTGAAAATGGCCTGGCAGGAATTAGGACTTCTCCCTGTCAAAAAGTGGCAGGGGCCTTTAGCCAATGAGCCTGTGGGTGAAGCGCTGACATGCGTGAGACGGTGCGGTAGTGAGACTCTTTGGACTACCGTCCCAGTGGAGATAGGGGATGGAGTTCCATATAGCAACCAAGATGCAAGGGTTACTGATGGGTTAGTGACCGTGGAAGTCTCTGAAAATGGTCTAGCAGAAAACAGGACTTCGCCCTGTGAAAAGGTGGCAGGGCCTTTAGCCCAACTGATGTGTGTTTACACCAATGCACACAGGATGGGCAACAAGCAGGAGGAACTGGAAGCTATTGTGCATCAGGATAGCTACGATACAGTAGCTATCACCGAAACATGATGCAATGAATCACACAGCTGAGTGCTGCCATAGATGGGTATAAGCTCTTCAGAAGTGATAGACAAGGAAGGAAAGGTGGTGGGGTGGCCATGTATGTTAGGGAATGCTATGACTGCCTAGAGATTAGCGATAGAGACAACAGGGTCGAGTGCCTATGAGTGAGAATCAAGGGGAAGGCCAACAAGTCAGATATCATGGTGGAAGTTTGTAATAGACTACCTAACCGGGATGAAGAAATAGACAAAATACTCCATAGGCAGTTGAGAGAAGCCTCGCATTTGCTTCCCTTTGTACTCGTGGGGGACTTCAACTTCCCGGATATCTGCTGGAAATATAACACAGCAGAGAGAGAACAGTCCCAGAGGTTCCTGGAGTGTGTGGAAGATAACTTCCTGACACAGCTGGTAAAGGAGCCAACAAGAGAGGATGCCTTGCTGGACCTTCTGTTTGCAGACAGAGAAATTCTTGTGGGGGATGTGATGGTTGAAGGCTGTCTTAGGCACAGTGATCATGAAATGACAAGAGTTTTCAATCCTTGGAGAAGTAAGGAAGGGGGTTAGCAGAACTGCCACTTTGGACTTCTGGCGGCAGACTTTGGCCTGTTTAGGGATTTAGTTGGCAGAATCCTCTGGGAGGCAGTTCGGAAGGGCAAAGGAGTCCAGGAAGGCTGGA